TAAAATTGGGCTTGGATAATTGGACAACAAAAAAAATTAGACAATGAAAACGGTTCAAAGTTTGTCAAAAAGGCTAGGATATTTGTAACCGTGAAAGGCAAAACGGACACTAACGGAAAACCGTTCGAGCAGCAAAAACGCACGGATGACGAACGGTTAACGAACGGTCCTTGAAGCGTTCGAACGGTTTGCCTAATCGTTCGAACGGATGAATAAATTATTTGAACGGTTTGGTCAGCCGTTCGAACGGATGAGTAAAAATTTCGAACGGACACGTAAACCGTTCGAACGGGTGAATAAATTATTTGAACGGTTTGATCAGCCGTTCGAACGATTTGCTTAGCCGTTCGAACGGATGAGTAAAAATTTCGAACGGACGGGCAAGCCGTTCTAACGGATGAAAATGTTATTGTGCGATTGGTTTATCAATCATACGGATGAATAAATTACTTAAACGGCGTTCCAACGCATGGCTTGATCATGGAACGGGCAAGGTTGCTTTATATTGTTTCAATTTGATTTGACGTTATTGTCAATTTCATTCTCACGATCGAAAATTGAGACTATTTCAATTTCTCATCGAAATAAGGTTTTTTAGTTATTGTCTGAAACTAATTAATATCTCATAAAAAGGTGTTTCTCATCGTAGTTTAAAATGACAGCTGAGTTAATCGTTTGTCTCACGATTTAGTCACATGGATGTCGATCGCGACGTTTCGACTGCTACACTGAATAACTGTAGAGAAACGACGAGTGCAATTTTCTCCTTTCGAATGGATGAACAGAACGGGCGTCAATCCGTTCGAACGGATGCCGCAGTTCTCCGAACGGTCACTTCTAGTTGGCGAATGGATGAAAAAACCGTTCGAACGGATATTATAACATAGCAAGTAAATTTGTGTAACCAAATTCAATTGCGCGAGCGTGCTTCATATTCCTATTGTGCACGCTCATGACGTCAGCAAACAAATCCCTCGAGAAAAAAATTGAAAATGTTATAAAACAATTGGTTCATACGTCAGCTGTGCGTTCATCGAGATATGAAGCACGCGGGAAGTTTGGAGAGCACTCAAGAAGCTAGAGTTGCTTTCGGCTACGCCTCGAGCAACTCTTACGCATCTTTCGTGCTCTCCAAACTTCCCGCGTGCTTCATATCTCGATGAACGCACGCTGATGTATGAACCAATTGTTAATTGAAACCGTTCGAACGGATGTCGCAATACTTCGTACGGATGCTAACGTATTTCGAACGGATATGCAAACCGTTCGAACGGTTTGTCGAACGCTTTAAACGGATTTTTCAGGCGTTCGAACGGATGACGAATGGATAACGAACGGGTTACCCGTTCGAACGGATAACCGTTAGTGTCCGTTTTGCCTTTCATTTTTCATATGTTACTGGAAACAGAAACTTCAAGATGTTGGGGTTCGTTTCGTTTCTCTTTCACGGTTTCAAAATGAAGTTGCCGTTTTCCTTTGAATCCATTTGGTGGTCTAAATAACTTAAACACTCTACTTGAAGTTTTACTTTAAGAAATTTTTTCAGATTAAATTGAATAATGAACAACTGAATGGATGAATTAGTCAGTATTTCATATATTGTTCTTGGGGGTGGAAAGGGGTGTGTTACCCTGCAGACGATGATGCCACTACCGTTATGGTCTTTTGAGCCGACCTGGTCTGAAAACGTGAGTATATATTGGCCATTAAGACCTTACATCGGTTGTGCTTTCGAGGGGAGCGAAGGGAGCCACGAGAGCGAGGGTCTCAATGGGGTTAACCGTTAGCCGTAAAACGGCCAAACTATTTAGCCGTTAGACGTAAAAATTGACAAATTTTAACCGTTAGTCGTAAAAAAAGTTAACCGCAAAAAATATGTCTGGTGGAAACAATGGAAAGGTGTTAACCGTTAGCCGGAAACTGGCCAAAATTTTAATCGATAGCCGTAAAAGCCATCACCCCATTGAGACCCTCGAGAGCGCGAGAATGCAGTTTTTTGTCAACAATAATTCAAAATAAGTAATAGAGAATGAGAAGGAACCACGATATATCATGCGACTTTAATTTTCAAGTGAATTTTAGCTCTCTACAGTTTTGACGTAGCTTAATTTTAATTCAAATCTACAGCAACGCTAATAGATCTGATATTGTGGGCTCAAACAATTTTTTAGTGGTATACAAGAGAAACAATGGGACATATGATCCTAGCAGTATGCAGGACACATGTCATATGAACTTGGTAATAGACTTAGCTCGACCTCGCTTACCGTGGAGTCTCTTGACGAGTTGTTGTTGTTTTTTTTTTGGGGGGGGGTTTTTTTTTAACAATTTCATGTTTTCTTTTTCCTTTTTATTTGGGGGGGAGGGAGATTGTCGCAGGTTGCGTGACATCGTATAACATTTGTTTTTCCCAATATTATGGCGGTTGAAAAAGCCGTTGCATTGTTATGAAATTGGAAATAACGAAAAGGACTGTGATACTTTCAAGCAGGAAGAAAGTACGCAAGGGCTCGAGGACTCAATTTCTATTATTTGTCTCTGCTTCAGTCTTCAGAGGGATCTTTAATTGTATTCTTTGGCACCAACACCTTCTGTTTCACACAAAAAAATAGTTTCCTTTACGGTAGACGAGGACAAACGGGTAGATATCAAGCAGATATCCATTGCTGCATTTTGGCTTATTGTTTGCACAATAATGCAATTCTTTCTCTAGTTTAGGGGTGAATCGGGCTTAGACTCTTTGAACACCTTAATCCGGCGGAAGACTGGGCTCGATTAAAGGTTTCCGCTTGGCGTTGGCGTCCCATGATATCATTCATCAAAAATACAACGGACGTTCCTTGAATGTTTCTTCAGTTGAGTTTCTTAAGGGGAATAGGCTTGTGAAAGGATAATGGATCTTTTTCTTACTGGTGTTTTTCGATGGGTTTTGGCAACGCTTTTACTCTGCTCCATAATTCAGAAGTCAGGTAATGTACATCGAGTTAAGAATATCGAGATGTTACTTTAGTTTGCCATTTGAGATAAAGCTCTAAACTGCTCTAAAATAATTTGACATACCCTAACACTTCTTTAAATTTTCTGATTGAATGATCTTCAAAGTTGTTAGAGTTACGTGTGATGTGTTGAAATTTCGCTCAACTTCGTCTGTTTTGCTTCTTCAGAGTCGGTATTCAGAATCAGCCAAAAACCTTCCAATCCTACTATTGTGGTGCTTGGAGTAAACAGCAGCCGAGCCACACTTGTGTGGGGGTATTCTGATGCACCAAGTCAGTATTTCGTTCAGTTTTGGAGACAGAAAACTGGTGAAAAAATTACACAAATATCATCAAGCAAGGATGGGAATGCGTTCGACCCGAGCAACACAGAAGAATTCGTTGCTCGGCTTGAAGCTACACTAATACTTAAGAACGTGAAAGGAGGTGAGGAATATACCTACAGTCTTTTTTTGCTGGATTCTAATGCCAAAGAGAGGGAGACACACGCAGTTTCTATCAAAGTGGTTGGTAAGTGAAGCTGTTTTATGAAATTCTTCGATACACTTTGTCTTGTAGTTACTTCGTACGTCAATAACTTAATTGTGTCTTATGGTAACGTACCAAACTTTATATACAAGCCTCTCTCTCTTTGCGTGAAATTATTTTAATTCGAACTTTTTTTGCAGGGAATGATAAGCTTATTTTATAAATGCAAAATCATTGTACCATATATAACGACACGGTTTCAACGCAATTGTACTTTCAGTGTTTCAAACGGCTTGTTACTTTTTAGCCGCGATTGACGTAGTTATTCTTTCATGAGACACTACGAATGACTGAAATTCCTGTGAATTGATTGTTATGTTTAATTTTGTTTTTCTTTTTTTGCTGCTTGAAGTTGTATTTCTGTGATGAAGACTGGAAGTTAAGCTCACGCTTGAGTTATGTTAATGCGACTTGTGCAACCAATATACATGTAAAGTGTACATGCACGATTTTGTTCTTGCTTTTGCAACAATATTCATGAGGAAAAAATTTCTTGAAAACCATTCGGTGTGATTTTGTTGTATTATGATCACTAAGGTATTCTGATCCACACTTTCGATTAGAGAACGAGTTACGACTCTCGAAACCATCATTGCTAAATATTAACAGCCAATCGGCCTGTATTGTCATTACTCCCATATATGTCAGTTTTGCATGAGTCATCTCGCGTTGAATATTTATATCTGAATGGCTCATTTACTGCTTACAACATTCAAGTAGTTATCGATTTGTAAGGTCATAGAAAATCACAAGCACTAAACGATCTTTTATCATTTTTCATTGCTCGCTTGAAGGTACGCAACCGTTGACTCGGAAAATTTGAATGTCTTTTGTTTATTGAAATTTGCGTTAATAGCAGGCTGTGTTTTCCTCATGATGTAGTAAGTTGATTTATTCACATGATGTTTAACCCATCGTAACTCCCACAGTCCTACTCAGGGTGCTGCGTGAAACGTTTGAATTAATGATTGCTTGGAAGGACATGCATATCTACTGACAGTAGTCAGAGCTTTTACTAAGGGATTGTTCATGGGGTTTTAGTGAACTGAATTTTCAAAGAAACTTCCTAACCCCAGGGAGAGAATGCCATTGGGTTGTTGGATTAGCCCCAGTATTTTTCAGGTTTCTCTTGACTGGTACTTATTTACACTCTTGGGTGGAGAGAGGCACTGCAAGGGTAAATTGTCTTGTTTAAGTTTACAGTACATTGACCCATCAAGGGCTTGATTACAGACTTTCTGTTCCATACATCTCTCACTTAACAACATAATATGTGTATGCAGGTATCAGTTGAATAAATGTTAGCATTACTAATATTATTTACAAGAATTTTCCTCAGTAGTTATTAGATGGCTGAACTCTTGTCTTCCCATTTTTATTTACACCATTCTCTTGATGATTGCACTGCCTTTGATATGGCAGTTTCTCAGAAATGTATGTAACATTTTATACCATGTAATAATCGTGATAATTTCACGTAATCTAAATTCATATCTTAAATTGTTATTCTCAGTGCCTCCAGAAATAACTATCCCACCAGAACCAAGGCCTTTACTTACCATTGGAAAAAACTACACTCTGACCTGCAATGCATCTGGTGACCCTTTGCCAAAGATTACATGGACAAAAGATGGAATCCCGGCTGAAGAGTTTAATGTGACAGGTTACAAGCTTCATTTGACTGATGTGAAGTTGAAGGATGTAGGATCATACCGATGTACAGTATTTTAGTAATGGATATGGAGTCGAAAATGCCTCTAATGTCATTTGTATAGCTTTTACATTTGTGTGAAAATGTAAGTTGTCTGTCCTGTATATTCAAAGCTGATCTTCTGATTACAGCATGTCAACAATCACCCAGTTAAATAGTAAATGTGGTATATATTTGGCTTTGTTTCATGATAAAATGGACTTTTCTACACTGTATTTTGAAAACTATTGCTTTCAATCTCAAGTGGAAACAAAGCTAAGATGAAATAGGATCACCTGCTAGCAGCTTTTTACTTTGAAAAGGTTTTTGAGTACAAGTCTTCCAGAGATCATGACAACTTGATGGTTTATCATTTTCCTAAAATATAAAAGTACCCTTTTCCCCATGCATTTCAAGATCTGAACTGAACTTTTGGATGATGAAAGATTAGTTATTTGACTTAATTTAATTTGATTGAAAAAATGAAGTGGGAAAAAATAGTCCTGCTTAGATATAGTTTTGGAGTAACCTTAAATTATTGCTTATTTTCTCTCTTTTTTTCATATACCAAAGGTAATGAGTGTGAAATTAAGACTGTTGGAATAAAATTAGAGAGTGAAACTTGGAAGTCAGCTTTGAATAACAGAGAGTCAATCGAGTTCAAAACATTGCAGGCAAATTTGTTATCAGAAGTAAGTATTTTGTAGAGTTAAATACAATGGGTGACCATGGAAGGTCAAGAATTTTTTTCTACATGTATGTGTACCAATACACATGTTTTATGTTTGTCATACAGTAGTAATTTGGAAATTTTTGATGTTTGAGTACAGATACCCTGTAATTTCTTTTGTCCAGTACTGCTTGGATTGACTTAGCTTCCTTTTCATTCATTTAAGATGACTACCAAGGAAAAATAATTGGAGAAATTGCTTTTCATTATCCTGCACCTCATTTAACATTCAGTGAAGAGTTTAACTTGAATACAAACAACTTAAAATACATGTGCATATTTGTGCTCCTTTTTTTTTTTTTTTTTTGCTTTTCTTTAGAGGAAAATTTAATATGAATTTTACTAAGTATACAATGTAGGTACATTTTGTGTACCTTATTTACTTGATTTATGATTCTGAACCAGGAGATCAGATTATAATAGCTTTGAATTTATTCCAAATTTAGTCTGGGAGAGTGGATTAGTCAATGTGGCTATGAATTTTTTTTCAGCACCAACAATGGTGCATTTACACATACATGTATCTGTATTAGAAATATGATGATGTAAATTTTACACCTGTGAAGCAAACCAAAAATTGCTCTTTCAGACACACAGACGAATGAAATTTTTGTGTTCTGCATGCACTTTACATGTATATAATGTATGCAATGTATGTATTTACATGTATATTATTTTTGAATAGCACATTTTGGCATTTTTGTTCCTTGTAAAATAACATAACTCTCTTCCTTGTGTTTAAGATATCTAAGGTTTACACCAAAAGTCCTGTAAAAGAATTGTACACAGTTGCTGTTGTTGATTTCAGGTAACTGTTAATTTTAGAGTGCTCAAGGTATTCATATTTTTAAACATTTGCTTTTGAAGAAGATGAATGCAGAATTTAGTTTGTATCACAAACTCCATGGTTAGTTCAGGAATTAGTTGAAGTTTACTGTTTACAGTGCATTGATTTGTATACAAACAATAATTACTTGAGATTTAATAATTTTAGATTTAAGGAATTGAAGTTTGGTGGAATGATGTCATGGAGGAGATGAAAAAGTATCAACCACTTGTCATTGTGCAAACAGCTTTGATCAACAAGTTTCTCTTTTTTACTGATAGATCTGGTAGTGTCATTGCTAAAGTAGAGATGAAGTTTGGTAAATCTGTCACTGACCCTTTGAAACCACTGGAAGATGAAATCAAAGATGGAAAGCTTGGGGCATTCAGAGTTAAAAGGGAACTTGATTTGAATCCAAGTAAGGCCTGGTCCACCTGACAAGTAGATTCTATTTTGCCATGATTATAAAAAGTTACAAACTTACTCTGAAGCCTGTATTGTTTGAAGATTAGCTCTGGTTGAAATGAGGTTAAAGTACTTCTACTTCTTAAGTCAGAGTGAACTCTTCTTTTTTGTCCTTTATCCTTGCTTGTGAACAGCTCTGAATTGCAAAAACTTTGTGGGAAGTGTTAGTTACATGTATATAGAGGACATGGTTTTCTTAATCAAAGTCAGCTGTGTCTGTACTCTCACAGATCATAGGTAACATTGACTTACTTCAAAACAACTAGTATTCAGTTACTGTTACAATTACTGTAACTATAACTGATCATCATTGCCTCATTACTATGAGTACATTCATTAGTAATGTTCAGGTACTTTAAGTAATGATTATTTCTATTTAAAAGATACAGTAGAATAATGATCAGATGTGTATGGCTAAGATATCAGCCATATTGGACATCTACATGTACATGTTGCCTAAAAGTAGTTGAAGCCTAGTTTTTGTTATATTTTTCATATGATCTTTCATAGGGGTAGTCTGGTGAGACCACCCACAGTTGTCTTTAATCTTTTATTGCTGGTTTGTGTTGCATTGTGTACAATGTGCAGTTTATAACAAAATGGTTCCGGTTTTGATAAGATAAAATGTTCTCTCTTCAGCTACTCCGCCACCTACCTTCTCTTCTTCAACAACATCAGAGAAACCAGAAGGGCCTTCATCTGGAGCTCGCACCTCAAAATTGACACAAAGTGAATTGTGGGGTATCATAGGAGGATGCATTGCATTTTTTCTTGTTGTTATCATCATTATTGTGGTGTCCTGCATTTGCTGTAGGAAAAAGAAAAGTGGTGGTGCTTCAAAAGGTTAGCAAAACAATATGTTTGTTTTCTGACAAAAATCTAGAGGGCAGTTGAATTTAAAAAAAAAAAAAAACATCAAACCACAACATGCGCCAATGCTGTACATCCTCTTCCTGTATCCTATATTGCCTCTACTGTTACTAAGGTCACTTGATTGAACCACTAAATTTTTTTTTTTTTTGCTTTTATGAATTCAAGGTGGTAGGAACAAATACAGTGAAGCTGATGGTTACCGCATGTAAGTACAGTATACACTTGTGTTTTGTCACTTGGCAGCAATGGCCAGAACCCTGGCTGCTCTTTTCTTTGTGTTCTTAGTTTAGACACTGGCCATACCAGGAATATTAGTGGGTCTTGCAAAGTGCCAGGGGACTTGAGAATATTTCTTGTTTTTGTTTCATTTTTTTAGGTTTTTTGAGGAGAGGAGAGGGGGGCCAGGGGTAGACTTATGGTGGCAGCAGCCATACAATTAGTTCTCACAAGCCAAAGAACTTAGTTAAGATCCAACTGCATAGGCCACCATGCTCACAAGCTAACCAAACTCCTTTGTGAATGAAAAGCTGGCATGGTACACTGTACAAAATGAAGAAGCTTTGAAGACAGAAAGCACCACAATGTTAACCTCTGAGACTATCTAGTATTCAATTCTTGAGTACTTCAATAACAAAAATTTAGAACCCTAACATTCAAGTTTTTTGCCCTATTTCTTTAATCACGAGCTTGTTTCCTCACAATGACATAATGTAAGGGTGAATTGTCTGGTTTTAGGAACAAGCAGCCTCCTTCAGGACTTGGTACAGCCAGTCCAGCATATGTTGAGGCCAGGCAGTATGCCCCAGTTTCTTCTGCAATGAGACAGGTACGAATTTTGTGAAATTACATAACTGCTTTGTGTGTTCCCCATACCAATGTAGTTTACTCTCATATGTCACGTATGTATTAGTATTTCAGGGTTTACCATACTAAAGTACATTCCCAAGTATGGGTTGTGTACCCCAGTATCAACAAAGTGACCTTGAAAACTTCTCTTAACTTGTACCTATGAAAATATCCAAATTGTGGAATGGGCTCAAATCTTGGTTTTGAAGTCGCACCACTTTTCTTTGTCATGTTCCTGAGTGTTGCTATGATGTGTTTTCATTCCTCAGCATTATCAAGAAGTAAACACCAATTATTTTTAAATGCAAAGGTTTTTTTATTATGTCAATATTATAATGTCCCCTCCATATTCCAGAAAGTCTTGACAGCATGAGGGACTTTTCGGTATTGATATGTACTGCACATCTCCCTTTGTTATAAGTACATACAGTGTAGATTAGTTGTAGTTCGTACATAGAGAATCAAGAAGTTTAACAGTCAAACAAATTGGGAGTGGTTGCAGTTTGCAGTTTGGTAATAACTTGAAGTTGGTAGATGAATTTACTCTTCTTATGTAAAGAGTTCCAGTAAGATCATGAGTTGAACTTGCAGTATACATTGTTCATATCATAAGCTTCTGCTGTTCATACACATGTAATGACATAATGTGTCATGACTCATCAGAATTTGATGTAAAGTCATTTCTCTGTCATGGAACCTCCCCTGACATTTTTGCCATTTTTGTCTATGAGCCTGCTTAGGAGCAGTAGTATGTTGTGGCTACCCATATAATTCCTATCATATTGTGACAATCATATTTACTAGTACTTGCATAATTTGCCTTTCCAAAAATTGTTCCATTTCCTACCCTGAGAATTTGTTTATATTTTATTGTGACAATCATATTTACTAGTACTTGCGTAATTTGCCTTTCCAAAAATTGTTCCTTTTCCTACTCTGAGAATTTGTTTATATTTATTTGACCTAAATGAAGTCATTTATCAATTCCAAGAAAGAAGAAAAATAGACAGGTATTTTGCTTTCTCTAGGATGAACAACGAAAAGGACCAAACTATATGGAGCCTGCCTTTGGCAACTCACCTGCATCTTACAAGCAGCCTCCCCCATACTCAGCCACAGAATACAGTGAGATAGCTTCCCAGAAAGGAGGACAGCAGGGAGAGGGTGGTGGCTTTGAGTTGTGGTGCTAAACTTTTAAATGAATGGGAAGTACAGGGTTCTCAGTATTCTGATAATTTCCATGCATGTACAACAGCTCCTGGTAATACAAAAAGAACTGCTTTCTGTGATAACTCATACAAACTGTATTTTTCTAGCCAGGACAGACTTTATAATACATTTTGTTGCTGTTAACAAAACCTGAGGGAAGTTTGGAATTTACTGAGAACCATAAATGTAGCATTCATTTTCTGAAGGGAGTTCTTTTCTCTTCAACCATTTTAATTTGTTTGTTTCTCAATGTGACATGATGTATCTGTAGGTATTTTAGTTAGCCATGTTTTTAGCATTAACATAAGTTGCTTTTTAGGAACACCAGGAAAGTTAAAGTTCTTGTAATCACTTCAAAGGCACCTCAAAATACCAAAGTACATAAACAGTTAAAGCGCTTTGGTTACATTTTGCATAGTATTACCACTGTGATCTTGTCACCTTGTTAGAGTTTGCCAATAATTTCGTCTCTGGTGTCTACCTTTTATTTTCTCTCAATTCAATTGCCATTGTGAGCATTCATCTTTTCCTCACAGTGCACAATAGCTAGGCAAATGATTGTACTTGAATTCTCTTGTCACTCAATGTCTAAATTAATTTTCTCTCAAATTGATCTAAGATTCTCTACTGGTATTTGTAGCCATGAACACATGTAAATTTGTAAATTTAAATGTTTGCTAATCGAAGGAAGATGGGGATGTTAATAACTTTTACTGATCAGTTGAAGTAAACCCAAATTTACAAATGTACATCTGAGTACATTTTTAGTAGTGCACCACCATGGACCTCTTGTCTGGTGAAGATGCTGAACCTGACATTGTTAGTCTCCTTTGTGTACCTATGAGCACCACTTTTGATTGACAAAATGGTTGTAGTACATGTGCATATAACAAAATACTAAATGATGTAAACTTTCTCTACAGTATCTGCATACACAACATTTGACATTAATGTCACAATGAAAGAAGATGGGTCTCGATTCAGATAAATATTCTGGTAATCAACATTGAGAAGACTTTGTTAATACAGGATAAACCAAATTTATGTAGACAGTCTCTGTAGTCCACATTTTAGCTGCTGAAGTCACCATGTTTTAACTTTTCACATGTACAATTTTTTCAGCTGAACTGGAACTTTTGAAGGAACTTTCTCTGCTTGAATATTTTGGGTTTAAAGCTAGTTCAACACATGCTTTTTATGCTGTAAAATGTTATATAGTTTTATTAGTTGGATGTATGTGTTTAAACTTGAAAACTATGAGATTCTATTCTGAATGAGCACAAAATAAATGACATAAATGTATTTAATCCATTTGGAACCAGTGAACAAGGTCACTCGTATGATAATGCACTATTTTGAATGAAGATCAACAGGTAGGATTTTAGGGATTGTAAAGAAATATATTTTACTTCATCAGGAGGAGTTTTACGTGGAAAATATTACAAATGGGTCCTCTATGTCTTTCTGAGTAAAACATGGTGTTTAGTGTGTTTGAGTGACTTGGCAAGTGGTTGCATAGAAAGGTTTTGGCAATGCCAACCCTTGAGGTTGTTAACTCGGAGAGCAAACTAGAAGGATCCTTAGTAGTAAAGTTTTCAAATTTCACCTTTTTGAGAATTTTCAATCCCACCATGGCCTGTTCTTTGGTGCTGACTTAATAGCTTTTTGTGGTTGTTTTTTTTTTTTTGTCTGACTGATTTATCAAGTATCGGTTACAACATAACATACTGGTCTAGGTATGGAAGGTTTAGCGGAACGCATGCGTACAAGACCTCTCTTAAGGAGAAAGTACTCGCAAGAAATTGCTCTCAGGAACTCCTTTTTTTACTTGTCACGCAACTCTTCAGTCGCATGACAGATCTGTGCGGTGCGACTGTGTGTGGGCGATTCCCCCTATCCGCTTTTATTTTACTAATAGGCTCGTAACTAGTTAAGTTGTAAGAATCATTTACCTTGCGTTAAGTGAATGATGAAAGTACAGGTAGGATAGACTGCTTGGTTTTTGAGTGATCTTGTAATTATTTAATTAAGTTTTAATGATTTTCATTAACTTTCAAGAAGACGACTAATAATTTAGAGATAACGATTTCATATATAGTGAGGCTTTTTTTTTTCCACCAGATTTGCATTTTTGCTGATTCATTGCGAGGCCTATTCATTATGGTCAGTACCTTTACTAAGTACAATTAAAGCATAACAGGCTTATTCGCCGGTACACATATCTAGTTATATTTTTAGAATTAAGCAATTGTTTATGTAGTATTCTGATGATTGCTGTATATTAAAAACGTGCAATAAAATTCCTCAATCGCTTTTACTGTAGTAGTATTTTTTCCTCTGTACGTTTCTTTGAAGCAATGGACCACACTTACCATTGGTTTACTGGCGTGATAACCAATTCGGGATGGCGAGAAAACATGAGACAAATTTGAAATTACGAGCAAACTTCGTAAGTGGGTTATTACGCCGGTAAACCGCTTGAAAGTGTTAATTGCTTTTATGAAATAAACTTCAAAATTGTGTCAACATCATGGGTTAACCGTTGCTTTAACCGAAAGGCTTTCGATCAATCAGGGCGTTCTAGTGTCTCGGCTATCATACAAAAGGGAATGTACGACTGTAGTTTTGAGTTAAATTTCCAGAGCGATGTCACGACATTGTGAACTGATTTTATGTAGTCATTTCGAATCGTTGAATTACTGTCATCATCGGAGACCAAGGGGCAAATAGTCGGGCGACAGGAACTTACATCGGCGGTCTCGGTTCTACAAGAAAGTACACTTGATGAACGAGAGAAAGATACAGCTGTTATCTGCGGAAGGTTCCCCTTCTTAGGTCTTTCAGTACACATCTTTGTGTATCTCCATATAAAGTATTACTATTTTAGGTGTAAGTGAATGGGTTAACAATTGCATATTTCTTCGTTCATTTTGAGGCTAAATGTGGTAACAGCTTACTCAACCACTGGCATACCAGCCTTAGCTTGAGAGAAGTCTTTTGTGGGTGCCAGGGGTTGCGAAGTTTCCTTGTTCGTGTTCTCGTTGTTTGCCTTATTACTTAATTTTGTTCGTTGACGTTCTTGAAAGACAAGATTTGCAGCAAACAAACGAACAAACTCGCCCAACTTTAAAACGTTCATTTGAGTTAATCACAATGACTTTCCTTACCATGTACCTTTGGACGGAGACAAATCTTCGCAGATTAATCGTGGATGGAAGCGATTAATACTTTCCGTAAGATCTTTGACTGTTATTGAAGAAAAAACGTCGTGATAGTCATCTAACTCGCGTTTGTTTGCCAAACCAACTCTGTTGTTCATTCAACAGTTAACGAGTGCTTTTTGTTTTCATATATACTCTCAGATTGACAGGTGTCAGATCTTGACAGAGACTTATAAAAAATGTTTCAAAGTTTTCTTGGAAGCCTTTCAAATAACGTCTATTACAAGGTAAATAAAAATGTTTTGGTAAAGCCTCTTTCTTTAAACTACGTTGTCTCTGTTTGTCTACTATTAAGGGAATGTAAATAGTTTATACTCTCTTGCTAATACTATGTATGTACGAGCCAAAACAATTTTCAGTACATGGTAAATATTGCCGTAATTACAGCCCTGAATCCAACTCTTTGGAAAGTGTTTCGAGTAATTTGCACGAAGGACGTACAAGAGACGTTGGTAAGTGATTTTGTTGTGAATCTAGCCAATAATTCGCGTGAACTGCTCATCAATTATGTGATGATTTGAAAGGTCTCCAGGAGCTCCTGTCTACGGCTTTTGCAACGAAAAATTTTAAAACAATACTAATTCGTGCACATGTCACTAAGTGCTGTTCATTAGCATTATTTCCTATATCCACTTCTCCAGTGAATCTGCTGATACTATTCGTGATACACCTATCCATATATGGCAATATATATATATATATATATGTAATTTCCCATCCCAAGAACTCAAGCCACAAAAGAACAATGACCATTGCTGTTACCCCATATATCAGGTGCAAGAAGCAATCTATAGTTTTTGGGGTCTATCACTAACTTTGTTTGGGTAGATTTTCACGAACATTTATTCAATTATTCAATTATTTTAACAAAACGAGCAAAAATCTATAACAGGACTGTTGTGAAAAAGCCGGTAGTTATTTGTGAGCAAGAAAACTCTTGCTAAGCCAGGATTTTAGTTAGCAGCAAGTAACAGGATTGTGCTATTCAGTTTAGCTCACAGAAAGATTGTGCATTACTAATGAGGGGTTAGCAGCAGCATAAGCCGTGTATCCCCAGAAACATGCCCAAGAACGCAACATAGAAAAGATGTAGGATGGATTTCAGTTATTAAATACCTTCCGTGAGGTCTACCATATAGGCCCTCAGCATGATCGCTGAAATATCATTTATATGAGAAGTCTTTACCAATGCAAAGCTAAAGGAAGGCTCAGCATTGTAAGGAGACTGTGTCGAAACAGGTCGTAGGTCTGGGCTCTATTGTGATCATATTCAATATAAAACAATAGCCTCTATTTGGCGGGAAAATATGCACGGATATTTGTCCGGGGATATGATCTGTTCCAAGATGCAAACAACTTTCCGAAACCGATGCTTGAGGAAAAGTGTGAGCTTCGTGAACAGATAATGTCCAATGACAATGCATATATATGTTATTAGAAGTTTTTATAAGAAGTATCGCAGAGTATTTTTATGAGCTGTGCAGTATTTTGACGAGCCCGTAGGGCGAGCGAAAATACAAACAACTCATATCCTGGGAGTCCTCAGTGCAGCAATAACAAGCGCTTAACAATTAGAACTCTGCTAATCTATTGTGGTGCGTTTAATTGTTCACCGCTGTTTGAATAAGGTCCACGTTGCAGAAATGGTCTACAATGCAGCAAGAATCATGGGGTGACTTGGAGAAAAATGATTGCGCTCTTCCAATAGCGCTGTTGGTGAATAGTTCACTGAGAGACGAATATTTAATGACGACCACAGA